TATATATATATATATATATGTGTGTGTGTGTGTGTGTGTGTGTACATATACACATATATATATATATATATATATATATATATATGTATATGTACACACAGTGATCTACTAACACGTGACCTTCCTGTCTTTGCAGGTGGAGTGTCCAGCGCTCAAGTCAAAAAGCTGTTTCCATGACAACGAGGCAGACCCCTCATGTGACACTTCCTTTGCTCTGAATGGTCACCTCTCCATCTTCATGCCGTTGACCTATCAGGATATGGAAGCTCAGCTGAGGCGGAGCTCCAGACTCAGGAAGCTCACAGCCGCACTGTGTCTAGCCTACGGCGTCAAAAAGCTGTGTCCCTATGTATGGAGGAGGCTACAGGTGAAACACACACAAGAGCTGTGTCTCAAAGTCGCTAGGCTGCATCCTTGTAGGCTGCATCCTTGTAGCCTGCAGCCTTCGTAGACCTGGCTGGTCCTCCAACAACCGCATAGGCTGAACGGACCGGTCTCTGAAATGGGACGGTCTGTCCTACGGGGGGACTTCCTGCCTGCGTCATCAGCTTTACCTCCACTGCTCCTGTTGCCTAGCAACCTGCTGTGCTTGACAGTAAAAGCCTTAAAAAACCTACAAGTATGTAGGTGGGGCAGCATGACGGAGTTAACATCTGTCACGTAACTTAACTGATAACATTTCTATCGGTAGCCACACGAGTGAATTCTATTACTTAACGTTACATTTAAAAGTTAACACTCCCCGCTGGCGGATCACCCGTCTCCGTCCTGAATAAATGAAATCCTCGTCGCCCCGCACTGCAGATGTGTCCTCCACATGGACTCCTGGAGGACTGCGTCCCTCCACCAGGTTCGGAGGAGCCGACGGATTGGGACAGGAGAGTCTCAGCGGGAGGGATGTATGCGCTCGACGAACGCGTCCTCAAGGATGCAGCCTAGAGACTTTGAGACACAGCCCCCCCCACACGCATACACACACACGCACACACACGCATACACACACACGCACACACACGCATACACACGCATGCACACACACGCATACACGCATACACACGCATGCACACACACACACACACGTCTGTAACTCTGGGTGTGTTCATCTTTTTTGCAGGGGAGCTCAACAGGTAAACAGGTGGGCGGGGCTAATCTGCCTGTAAGCTCCTCCTCCAGTTTTGATGTCACTGTAGGAGGAACAAAGAGCGAAAGCAGGTGTGTGTGTGTGTATTTAAAAGTGTGTAATCATTTTTGAGTAATTCTTCTGGACTTGGAGTGTAGGGAAAAGATAAGGACAGATTGCAGATGGATTGTGCTTCTGTGTCCACAGGTCCCCCTCAGTGAACAAAGACTTCCTGCTTAGGCTGTCCCGTCTGTTGGGGCTCTTGTTTCCACAGTTACTGTGTCCAGAGGTGGGCCTGCTGGCTCTGCACTCCGTCACCCTGATCTCCAGAACCTTCCTCTCCATCTATGTGGCCTCTCTGGACGGTCAGTCACACGCATCCACATGCAAACATGTTTATATGTACATATATGTATATCCGAGTATTGGACATCTGCTCCATTGATCCCCAGGTGTGATCGTCAGGTGCATCGTGCAGAAGGACCCCCAGGCCTTCGTGCTGGAGCTCTCCAAGTGGCTCCTGGTCGCTGTTCCTGCCACCTTCATCAACAGCACCATCAGGTTCCTGGAGGGCCAGCTGAGCCTCCGCTTCAGGAGCCGATTGGTGGAACACGCTTACCAGCTGTACTTCAGCAACCAGGTAACACACATAGGGACACACACACACACATGGACACATAAAAGGCACAGGGACACTGTGTGTCTCTCTCCTGTCCCCTAGACGTACTACAGAGTCAGCAACATGGACGCTCGCCTCTGTAACCCCGACCAGTCTCTCACTGAGGACATCGTCATGTTCTCCGCTTCTGTTGCTCATCTCTACTCAAACCTCACCAAGCCCATCCTGGACGTGGTGGTGACCTGCTACACGCTGCTGGGGACCGCCCAGTCCAAAGGTACACCTGGTCCACCTGGTGCACCGGGTGCACCTTTGGTCCACTGTAAGACTATCGTCCTCCTCCTCCCTACAGGAGCAAACACCACGTGGCCGTCTGTCATCGCCGGCCTGGTGGTGGCGCTCACCGCCAAAGTGCTTCGCTCCTGCTCGCCTCGTTTCGGGAAGCTGGTGGCCGAGGAGGCCAAAAGAAAAGGAGATCTGAGGTACATGCACTCTCGCATCATCGCCAACTCTGAGGAGATCGCCTTCTACGGAGGCCACAAGGTGAGCCGCCTCAAACGGACAGGTTGAGACGCGTCGCTTCAGATGAATTACCTCCCCCGTGCAACAAAGGTGGCGCAGGCCCTCTTCTGATAACATTGATGCTTGTGGGTGTGTTTGATTCGTAGGTGGAGATGGCCCAGCTGCAGCAGAGCTACGTGTCTCTGTCCTCTCAGATCCATCAGATCCTGGTGAAGCGTCTGTGGTACGTCATGCTGGAACAGTTCCTCATGAAGTACGTATGGAGCGCCTCCGGCCTGGTGATGGTCGCTGTGCCAATCATCACTGCCACGGGATACTCCAGATACGGTGAGAAGACACCAACCACGAACATACACACACACACACACCTGTGTAGTGGCAGAGGGACAGTTAGCTAGCATGCTAATTGTGTGTGTGTGGTATCTGCTCCTTTACCTTCTCCTATGTAACTTCTCTGTCTGGGATCTTTGATCTGCGCAGACTCTGAGGAGGTGAAGCAGGCGGCCCTGGTGATGAAGGAGGAGGATCTAGTGAGCGAAAGGACTCAGGCCTTCACCACAGCCAGAAACCTCCTCAGCGCTGCAGCTGATGCTGTGGAGAGGATCATGAGCTCATACAAGGAGGTGCACATACTCCTCCTCGTCTGCCTCTCCTCCTATCTTACACATTTCCCTCAGTGCTGTATTTCTATAGGTGACGTAGCTTCACGTGTCTCTAGGTGACGTGGCTTCACATGTCTCTAGGTGACGTGGCTTCACGTGTCTCTAGGTGACGTAGCTTCACGTGTCTCTAGGTGAAGTAGCTTCACGTGTCTCTAGGTGACGTAGCTTCACGTGTCTCTAGGTGACGTAGCTTCACGTGTCTCTAGGTGACGTAGCTTCACGTGTCTCTAGGTGAAGTAGCTTCACGTGTCTCTAGGTGACGTAGCTTCACGTGTCTCTAGGTGAAGTAGCTTCACGTGTCTCTAGGTGAAGTAGCTTCACGTGTCTCTAGGTGACGTAGCTTCACGTGTCTCTAGGTGACGTAGCTTCACGTGTCTCTAGGTGAAGTAGCTGCATGTGTCTCTAGGTGAAGTAGCTGTGTTTCTGTAGGTGACGTAGCTGCATGTGTCTAGGTGAAGTAGCTGTGTTTCTGTATGTGACGTAGCTTCACGTCTCTCTAGGTGAAGTAGCTGTGTTTATGTAGGTGACGTAGCTGCATGTGTCTCTAGGTAAAGTGGCTGTGTTTCTGTAGGTGACGTAACTGCATGTGTCTAGGTGACGTAGCTGCATGTGTCTCTAGGTGAAGTAGCTATGTTTCTGTAGGTGACGTAGCTGCATGTGTCTCTAGGTGAAGTAGCTGTGTGTCTGCAGGTGACGGAGCTGGCAGGGTACACCGCCCGTGTCTCTGAGATGTTGGAGGTGTTTGAGGAGGTGAATGAAGGGGTCTACCGGCGCCCTGGAGGCAGAGAGGAGGTGTCATCAGGGGGGCGGAGTTCCGCCCCACAGACAGCGGCTGCAGACCAGAGGTTTGACGTCAGAGCGCGGTCATGTGACCAGGAAGAGATCAAAGGAATAAACAGTGACTGGATTCGACTCGTCCAAAAAATGACCTCCTAACGTCTGTTCCTAGACCTCTATGCAAAAGGTCACGGGGTCATGGAAAGATGGGGAGGTTTTCCATGGGTCAAGGAATAGACGTTAGGAGGTCGTTAATAGACTATTGGAATCCAGCCAAAGGTTCTAATGAGCCACAGCTCTTTGTCCCGCCCTCCTCACGATTGTGTATGCAGGTCAGGTGATCAGTGTGGAGAAGGGGATTCGCTGTGAGAACCTGCCAATCATCACACCAACCGGAGATGTGGTGGTTTCTAGCCTCACCATCCAGGTGACGCACACACACGCACACGCACACGCACACACACACACACACCGGTGTTGTAGTGTGTGTCGGTGACCACATGGTGTCACTCTTGTCATGTGATTTCTTCAGGTCAACTTGTATCTGAGGGCTGAATACAAAGTACTTTTACTGCCTCATTGTAGTAAATGTACTTTAGTGCATGTAGTACTGAACTAAAGTACACGTTTGAGTTACACTCTTTGTGTATATTAAAATTGTATAACACAGTACTTCTACTACAGTAAAGGTACTTTGTCCTCTAATAGCAACAACAAACATCTGATGTGGATCCTATAATCATATAGTCATAATAGTCGAGTTATTGATCTTCTGTCCCGATGACGTCACGGATGCTCAGTGCTGTTTCCACCAGCCTCACATCTCTGACAGAGGTTAAAGGTCAGAGCTCATTAGCATTTACTGAATCAGTGTGTGTGTGACCAGACACACAATAGAGGGATTATAGACTGACATTTTGTGGTTGGAGAGAAAATCACCACAGAAGAAGAACATTGATGGACAGTCTCCTCTCTGTGATCTGACTCTTGACCTTTGAACCCTGTACTGCGCGCTGGGATTTGTCTCGCTCCTAATTCACAGGTTGTGCAGTAGCATCAGTTTACAGATTTTTCTCAGAAACACACATATATATATATATATATATATATATATATATATATGTACACATAGACACACACAGAGAGACACACACACAGACAAAGCACTATACACGTTATGTAGATTGTAGATTATGTAAATCCTTAATTTTTGGGGCCACACGAGAGACGCAGATGGTTGCTGAGGGCCAATGAAACATTCTACTACAAGACATCAGACTAAGATAGAAAACATATTTAGTTTCAGATTATTAATAATAAACTGACATATGACGTAGTTATTAAAGCTTTTGTATAGAACTCAGAATTCCAGAAATTAAAACATGCTTTTCAAGTTTTGCAATGAAACCAAAGAGCCTTAAAATAAAAGTTCCCCTGCTCTTCTCTCTTCTGACCTGAAGTCACAACTTTGGACTCACAATAGACAAAGCAATGGGGAAGACAAGTGTATAACTTGGATATTAAAGTTTGTGTCCTTCAGGTTGACGTGACGATGAATGTGTTGATAACTGGTCCACACGGATGCGTGAAGAGTTCTCTGTTCAGGATCCTCAGCGGACAGTGGCCTGTTTATGGAGGAGTGCTGTACCGCCCCGACCCACAACTCATGTTCTACATCCCACAGAGGTATAACACTCAGCCCTGAGCCCGCCCCTAGACCTGTGCCCGCCCCTAGACCTGAGCCCGCCCAGACCGTAGACCTGAGCCAGCCCAGACCCGTAGACCTGTGCCCGCCCCTAGACCTGAGCCAGCCCAGACCGTAGACCCTTGCCCGCCCCTAGACCTGTGCCCGCCCCTAGACCTGTGCCCGCCCCTAGACCTGAGCCAGCCCAGACCGTAGACCTGAGCCCGCCCCTAGACCTGTGCCCGCCCCTAGACCTGAGCCCGCCCGTAGACCATAGACCTGAGCCAGCCCAGACCGTAGACCTGAGCCCGCCCCTAGACCTGTGCCCGCCCCTAGACCTGAGCCCGCCCAGACCGTAGACCTGAGCCCGCCCCTAGACCTGAGCCCGCCCAGACCGTAGACCTGAGCCCGCCCAGACCGTAGACCTGAGCCAGCCCAGACCGTAGACCTGAGCCCGCCCCTAGACCTGTGCCCGCCCATAGACCTGTGCCAGCCCGTAGACCTGAGCCCGCCCAGACCATAGACCTGAGCCAGCCCATACCGTAGACCTGAGCCAGCCCGTAGACCTGGGCCAGCCCGTAGACCCTACATGTTGGAGTAATGATAATGTACTAGCACCTGTAGTCGTGTACAAGTACTGTGTTCTTCACAGACCCTACATGTCGGAGGGGACCCTCAGAGACCAGCTGATCTACCCGGACTCGGAGGAGGAGATGGTCAAGAGAGGAGTCACAGATTCAGATCTGGAGGAGACCCTTGCGACGGTCCACTTGCTCTACATCCTGGACAGAGAGGGAGGTCCGTAGACGTTAATAGTACTAATAGTATAGTATACTAATACGGACACTCATCTTGTAGTGCAGTATTGTCATATACTTCTACATGTGGTATTAATACTCAGATATTTCATCAGGT